GATAACTCTATCCGTCTATGGGATGTTAAGGCAGAATAAGAAATTAAATCCTCTGATAAAAATTACAAAAATATACTTGTATAATTTAAAACCACGTTATTATAAACCAATCCTCTATCAGGTATTTATTTTTTATTTATTACTTAGTCTCAAATTATTCAATTCTTGTTATATCACAAGAAATATTATTTGAAGCAAAAGGAACATGTATCTTAGAAGGAGAATTTATAAATCATTAAGGGAAGGATTTAAAACCTTTATTTAAATCAAAAGGAAGCTGCTTTTTGGAAAACTTATAGTAAAAGTGAATTTGATTATTATCACAAAAAATCTATTAACAATGAATTTCTAATATTTAGTTAATTATGTGTTTTTAGTTGCACTCTTCATTTTCACTACTTATGCTATCTATATATATATACTTATTGTTGAATTTATTCCATTTTTAAATGTTTAATTAATTTATTAAGAAATTACCCAAAATTTATATTAAATAATTCAAAAGTAAATCATACATATCCATAAAGGACAATTTTTAAAAATAATTTAATTTTTCACCACTGACAAATGAGATTAACCCCCTATCAAACATAGATTAATTGGATAAGAAATCTATTGAAACAAACTAAATACAAAAACAGCTAGAAATCAATGATATGTATTATAATGTACACATATATGTATGTGTATATTTTCTAGATTACAAAATTATAATTCATCAATTATTCAATAATGCTTTCATTTAAAAAGACACTTAATTGTTTTTATTTTCGAATGATCCTCCATTTATTCATTAGATAATAGTTATTCATTTATTTTATATCGCCCCTAATTATAAGAGTTAAATAAAATTTAAAATCATCAAATGATTGAAAACTTGACTGAAACAATTCAAAATTTATTTCTGTTAGGCTTTATAAAATGTTATAAATCTGAATTATAATTTTTTTTTCATTAGAACTTTGATATTAAGCCAAGTGAGGAATCCCTAAATTTATTAATTATTTTATAAAACAAATTGGATAAATCTAAAAAATGAGCAATAACATTTAAAAGGAAACCGAGAATGCTGGTGTGTTAGATCATTATAGAAGAGGCTAAGTACAATTATTTAATTGAATATTTTTAGGAGTAATAATAATAATAATAATGAACAATAATATTTTTCACTAAGGAATTCACTTGTTAGGGTCAGGACCCTTGTTTATTCTTTGGGAACACAGAAGAAGTATTAGCATAAGCGATGCTTCCTAGACATTACGA